GTTGATGGTACGACGTCGATCTTCTTGAATGGCCTGCCGAATCTTCGTAACGTTTTCGGGCGTTGTGCTCGAAGATGGTCGTCCAGAACGCTCGTCATCATCGACAGCGGTTCGGCCATTTTTAAAACGTGAATGCCCCACAAAAGTTTGTGCACGACCCATTTCGAAGTATTTCCCCAAATGCTTGCTTTAGCATTTCATAGGTTTCCTTAGCCGTTTTGGCGAGTCTTTGGCAAAATTTCATTTGTTCATGAAAATCCGCCATTCCGAAATCGCAGGAGGGTCGGTGTAATGCACTACCAAAACGCCCGTAACTAAGAAACAAATGCTAATTCGATTATGCCGGCTGGCACACTGATTCACTATGAATGTAGGCCGCACCCCCTAAAGGCAGAAGCTCGTACTACATCCGGTTCGCCCTCTATTGACACAGTCTTGAAACTTTCCGATCGCACCTCGTATCACTAGGCAAGTTGTAGAAACATGTTTTAACTCAAATTTCACTGCTATGCTAAATTCTAAACATTTCTCTATACTACACGAACTGAGCACTTTACAAAGGAAAAACATCTTTCAGCTCTCATATATTGTAATATATCTCAAGTGTTCCTCAGAAATGTTAGATGTGTATTGGTTATCTTAAAAACCTTCTACATTAGCCATTAACCCCCAATATTATATGATGCTCTAACCTTATTACAGAAGTCTTCATGGTTAATAACATACAAAACACAGCAATACATAAAGTAAAAAGAAACAAAGTCAATATTTACCAACTATTTATGGCATGTTTCTTCAAAAGCGAAGACCATAATATTCACAGCTTTTAAATGGTTAGTAACATGAGGTGCTTTTGGAATCCCACTCAATTATCACTTCAGTTAGTAGCATTTTTACTCTTTACCTAACGACATTTACTTGCTACATTACCATGACAAAATATGTGTCAGTCACTCAATTCATAAAACTTCAAATCCAGTGCAATAAAGAACATTTAGTTTACACAGTTACGAACATGACAGAATCATATGTAACTTTCCAATTCAACACAAGACACTAAACAGGCATGCAGATAATCAATAAACATTAAAATAATTTAAACATTCCCTTTCTAAAAGTAAAAACTTTCAGTCAGTCACTAAGTCCTCATATCCACATAAAAAAAGTCTAATGACACATGTCATGTCTTCAAATGATGATGAAACTATATTTGCTTTGCATATAATACTTACTCTAATTATTAGACAAGGAGAAGTCTTTAAATTGGTTCAGAAAATAATAACCGTTCATAGGTAAGGTTTGAAGTTTTCACACCATCTCAATGTAACTAAGCCCTCTCAGGCAAAGAGCCATGTTGATGGCATCAGTCTCTGCAGTGATGGACAAAACTCCAATCTCACAAGGCTGATTGTACAAGGAGACTCCATTGTTTTAACAGCTCACCATTTTTATACAATCACAATGACTGCATGTAAAGCATGTGACCAAAAGGTTATATTCTACCGTCTTAAAACAAACTCATTACACAGACAAGAGGAACTATATGCATGTTGCAGCCCAACCTACAGAACTTAAAATCAATTATCCATTCTCAATATGTCTGCAGCAAGTACCAGTGTCATAACAGTTGCACCCCATATTCTAGTCTGAACTGATTTCTCCATTTTCCACCAAAAGATTCCTCTTCGAAGAACAACACACATACAGGTGTACAACATAATACAGACTTAAAACTATGCAAGTTAATTAATCTGATATTTTGAGTTGAAACGATACTTATGAATTCTGTCATACTGTCATCAATCTCTACTCACTTCTGCTACATTCCAACTGCAATTAAAATACTGCAAAGAAGATATTATACAAAAATATTTTACCAGCTAGAATTCTACCTATTAAATATTGCCATAGTATTGGTTCCTATACAATAAAAGCAAAAACATTTCTGTACATGGCTGTCTTCTGGGGTGTTGTGCCATATGTAGTCTGGTAGAAGTTCACCAGTGTTTCGGGCTGCTTGCTGCCTCCATCACCAGGGGAGTGGGACAGGAAAATGGGGAACATGATCCACAGCTACTGGCCCCCAAAGGGGGGGGGGGGGTAATCTTCTAACAGACTACCCAGAAGACAGGCATATCCACACTCAATGCTGTGAGAACATGAATCTCACCAAAAACATTTTCCACATACGTCATGTCTACATTATTAGATTCAATGACAATATCAATTATTCACACAACAGCGCTTATGCAAAAGTTATACGGTGTCAAACTTTAGGGTGACTGTGACCAAGAAATTTCAAATGCGTGGAATGAAAATGCTGTGACCTGTATGAAGGTTTGTCTGGAAGTACTGATGAAAACCATGACAAATCTTTGTGAGGTTAGTCGGTCTCAGGAATTGATTTAAACCCAGGACTTTCTTAATATGAAACTGTAGTTATAGTCACTCAACTGTGAGATATGGGCTGACATTTGGTGACTTCAAACCACAAGTAAACTATGTGTGATGTAATTTAGAATTATCCGCTAAGGACACCTCTAATAATACAAGATGACAATGGAAAAATATTCCATTGTAGTGCATGAAGAACTTTCAAGCTTGAGGAATACCAGGACCGATGCGTCTCATGTGTGCATACACGATACATTTCATTACTTTATTTTTTCTTACTAACTTCCTTTAGGTAATACAACAAAATATTAATAATTAACGTCATATCCTTTCAATACCTTGTGTATTTCACACTTAAATAGCAGTCCATCCCCACAGGTACAATGCTAATCAGAATAAAATTTCACTGAACCAGATATGAAAGTTACTTATGAATGTTATGACTACTAAAAATGCCAGATGACATCACTATGCTGCATTAGATGAAACATGACTAAGAAACTCAACATACCTGAGGCTTTTCATCGACATATTTGGCACAGGTTCGAATATACCGAATGGCTTCCATACTTGTGTCAGGAAAACTAGCATTGCAGGCAAATTCTGATAAACACTTGATTGAATCTTGGAAAGAGTCAATCATGATTGGGAAATGTTTGCTGTACAAATCATCTGGAATACAATACATATTATATATAACACATTAAGCAACAAAACTTGCATAGCTGCATACATATGAAATTTTATATGCAAACAAGAATTTCTGGCTTGACTTACGATAACTACTTTCCTAAAAATGCTTCAGTCTATATGGTGAGAATAGAAAAAACCCATCAAGTAATAATTACACAATATAGCAATCCATTTCTGCATATTTCATTTAGTGTACATTATGATTAAGACAAAGCTAAAGAAAGGGATGGTGGTCGGCAACATCGTGACCTTCACAACAAGTCTGATGAGAATTTGTCATTCAATCATAAGTTATTTGGGGAACAAACCTACAAACGAGAAGAATAATATATACACAGGCTTGATAATAAAGCACTTCGTAACAGTAACTTACTGATGATCTTCCCTGTTGTATGAAAGGCAAGTTCGACAATTGCTTCATCTTGATCTGATGCTGCCAAGTGAAACACACTAAAAATATTCTTCCAACCTGATCTTATGTTGTGAGCTTGAGAGTTCACCATTTGGGCTATGCAACGTACCACCATATCACGTATTGTTGGTGACCTGGACACATTAAACAATTAGTTAAGATTTTATTTAACAAACAATGGACAAGGGTACTCCACTGGGTAAATGTAGTGTCTAAACACACTCCTGATTTTACATACACAATTGATCTTGTTATTTATTTGTTCTTCAATGATGTTACAGCCTTCCATTTGCTTTACAACCAAAAACATACAACTATCACCAAACATATCTTTGGTGTCTGCAGGATGTAATAATTAAGTATAATTCAAATCAATTATGTTTATTTACATGTAAGAAATGTTTACTTATGCTCTGCTAGTGACTCTGTAAAGAAAGTTGTCATTTATTATTAATAAGAGAATTAAACTGATTGGTGGTAAGCTTACAAATTAAGTTTGCCTGTACTTAAAATATTCACCTATTTTTCTTCATGATATGCTCAAATGGGCGAAGAAAATCTTTCTGGAAACGAAAGTTGGCAAATTCACCCTTCTCAATGAACTTCATTGATAACTGACGCAAGGAGTCAACAGCAAAGAATGCTATATCTTCACTTGGATTACAGCCAACCTTATTAAAGTGCTCACCAAGCACTTGCCAGATGCGCGACCACTGCAGACGGATCCTCCCCATATTGTAATATGAGATCTCAACAATCTTCTGTAAGCTGAACATCCGTGGATGAGCCGCATGTGCCAACTCATCAAGTGAAACCTGAATAAGGTAATTAGTCATCCTTTACTTTTCTTAGTATTCCATACAGACACAAAAATACTGTGAAAAATCAATTTAGTGGTCCCTAAAAGCACAACAGATTTAAACACTACACTGAGTGAAATACTGAAAAGACATTTAAGAAAAAGATAATTAGTCTGGGACAACATGTATAAAGTCAGCAAAAGGCATAAATGTAAGTGTATGAATGTGGAGTACTGGGCTCGGTACAGAATAATGCACATACTGGGAAAAGTATTCTCACCTGGCAGAGAGCACGAACAAAGTCTACAATGGCATCACCATCCAATCGAGTTGAACCTGTGAAGATTCTGTCTACTGCAACAACAACACTTTGTGAACTCGTCTCTCCAATTGATTCTTTTACGCTAGCTGCAAGTAAACAAACAAATATAACTCAACTTTTTCTACAACAAAATTCTTTCTGACAGGGATAGTGAAAAACCATTTTAAAATGTCAGAATACATTCCTCTAAAATGATGGCATCACCCACAAGATTATAAAATGTCACTACCCAGAAGATCACAATCAACATCCTCAAGAGAATGAAAAACTCAAGTCTCACATAAGATGCATCTTTGACTCAGTATTGCCTAAAATTCCATTTGGATGATGAATATTAGGAAGAACATGCAATACCAATTTTAATCAAGATTCAATTATTCAATTGGTAAGTGCACAGATGAACAGAGACAGACAAGTAGAAATCTATACACACTCATGCACTGTTGAAAAACATGTCTGAAAAGAAAAAAAAAATATGAAAGTAAACATCATGCACATGTACACTGGAAACTCTACAGTACTTACGATCCAAAGAACTGAGATTCAACTTCAGAGGATCTGGAAAGGAATGATCATTGTGATGTGACCTGGGTCCAGATATAAACTG